ATACAAGTTGTCTCAGCAGTGGCCTGGAGTGACTGGCAGATCTTTCTATCTTGTGCTAGAGGTCCCAGCCCCCTGAATACTGGTGCATGACCAGTTAAAGGGCCAGTGTCTGGCCCTGGGCTTTTACACTGTGGGGATATCTTCTCAGAGTTCTCCTGATTCACCAAACAGTATGTGGACGAATCAGTCTGGTAGTGCAGGGACTCTCTTTGTAAATCAGGGGAGCAGGCACAGGTTCCAGGGAGTAGTTCTATATGCTCCTGGGGATTCCTAGATAACTTTTCCTGCTTGTGAAGTGGCCCTTTAACAAGGAAAGTTCTCTTTCAGCCACTATATTATGTATGTCTCTAAGAGACTAAGTTCTCTTTCAGTCACTATATTATGTATTTCTCTAAGAGACTTGCATCTGTGTACATCCAAGAGAAAAATGATATTTTATCTTATTTATTTATTTGTGTGTGTGAGTGGTTATAGTCTGAATTCCTGTGTGAAACAATTATGATTATTTTAATAACTTTATTTTCAGAAGTGCCATTGAAGCTTTATTAGCTTGGGAGTAGAGGAAATAATTTTATCCGAGCATAATCATTGTACATTTACATCTTTCTCTTTTTTTCTTCAGTGGAGTGCTTTAATGTGTCTTTTAAGTGTTAGAGTTGACAAGTCTATATATTCCAGCTCAAGTTAATCCCTCTTTTGTTGAGAGATCCTGAGATCCATTTTTAATCCCTAATGCTGAATGTCATCGCTGAGGAATTTTTTATTGCATTAACTAAAGATGCTTTAGTTAATGCAATAAACTGGGTAAATGGGCAGCAAAATGGCAAGTGCAATTCAGTGTGAGCAAGTATAAAGTGATGCTCATTGGGGGTAGGAATCTTAATTTTACCTATATGCTCATGGTGTCTGAGCTGGTGGTGACTAACCAGGATTGAGACCTTCAGGTCTTCATAGATAGCTCAAAAAAGGTGTCAACGCAATGTGTGGCAGCTGTGAAAAAGTCAAATTCCATGTCAGGGATCATTAAGAAAGGAATTGAAAATAACACTACTAATATGATAATGCCATTAAGACTCTCCTCCTGCAAGAGAGGGGAGTGGTTGTGGGCGGGAGCCGGTCTCCACCTCAAGCAGGGGGCTTTAGCCCCCTGCCTCCCACTCACCTGGCTGGCGCCCACGCCCACGGACAGGCACCCAACCAGGTGCCTTCGGGGGGGGGGCGTGTACAGCAGCGTAAATTGCTGTGGCGCCAGCCTCCCGGCCTCACTCTTCGTCGTCCCGTCGCGAGTCATTATATCAACCTATGGTGCACTTGGAATACTGTGTACAGCTCTAATCACCTCACCTCAAAAAGGATATTGTATTGCTGGAAGAGTTCAGAAAAAGGTGATCAAAAGTTCCCAATATTTGGGGCTTTTTAGAAGAGGCATTTCTCTCTCGCTCTCTCTCTCTCTCTCTCTCTCTCTCTCTCTTTCTCTCATATAATGCTAGAACCTGGGAACATCCAGTGAAGCTGAATGTTGGAAGATTCAGGGCAGACAAAAGAAAGCACTTCTCCACACATCACATAGTTAAGCTATGGAATTTGCTTTCACAAGAGGCAGCGATAGCCATTAATTTGGGTTGCTTCAAAAGAGGGTTAGACGAATTCACGGAGGATAAGGGGTATCAGTGGCTACTAGCCATGTTGAGTACGTTGCATCTCCACTGTCAGAGCCAATATGCCTTTAATCATCAGTTGCTGAGAACTGCAGGTGGGAAGAATGCACACAATTGTTCTCAGGTTCTGCTTGTGGACTTCCCATGGACACCTGAGAACAAGATGCTGGACTAGATCAGTGTTTCCCAACCGGTGTTCCGCGGCACACTAGTGTGCCGCGAGACGTTGCCTGGTGTGCCGCGGGAAAAATTAAAAAATTCGAAAGATATCCGGAGAGGCGGCCTTCAGGCGAGTTTTAATTTTAATTTTCCTTCTCCCACTTAATGCCCCACGCTCGCCCGAGCAGCTTGCAGTCCTCGGTAACCACGGCGACCCGAGGGAGGGGAGGGAACAGGGAAGTCGAGGGCGGCGGCGAGCCGCGATGACATCAGTGGGCCGCGCCACCTCGCCCTGGCACGGTGTGAGAGCCCCGGCTAGTGGCGCGAGCTTCAGAATAAGTGGGATCCGCGTGCGCGAGACCGAGATCGCGGGTAAGGAGCTCAGCCCTGGGCAGGAGGAAGCGGGGCCGCGCGTGCGGGCCACATCCCCACAGAGAGCAAGCCTCCCCCGGCCCACCACTCCGGGCAGGTCCACTCGCATGAGGGGGCGGCGATGGCGACGGCCGGCAGCTTGCCTGCAATGCCATCCCTCGAGCAGGCGAGGAGCCCGGAGGCTACCAGATGCGAGTCCTCTTTCCCACCCTGCTCGGGAGTCCAGAGCACTTGGTTGCATTCAGGATCTAGAGTGGGGAAGCGGGGCTTGTGTCTGGGCTGGACACATTGGGCTGCCTGTGCCGCTCGACCTGCGGGGAGAAATCAGGGTGGGAGTCACGACCGTGAGGCAGGGCTGCCAAGTGTGGCAGAAGAGGACACGGCCGTCGCACCTGTCCTTAGGTAGGAGCTTCTTCCGTGTCGACCTGCTGCCCTAAAGTCTTGGCTTTTTTCTTGGCTTTTTGGCGGTTGGCACAGAAGGAAGGCAAGGGGGAGGGGAAAAAATTGAAACTTACACTTTCGTGCGTCCCTCCTGGCGTGACGCTGCGCGCTGATGTCACGGGGCTGTAATGGTGGTGTGCCTCGAGATTTTTTTCATGAAACAAGTGTGCCTTTGCCCAAAAAAGGTTGGGAAACACTGGACTAGATGGGCATATGGCTTGATCCAGCAGGCTCTTCTCGTGTTTTTATGCTTGTGGATGTCATGGTTACCAAAACCTTTGCCTTGCTTTGGTATTACCGACAACAGAGTTAAGTAGGGTGGATAACCAACTATTTTCATTCTGAGGAGACTTCCAGTAGAATAGTTGGTAGCTCTACCTGACTTAAAGGTGTATGGTTACCAACCCCTAGAGATAATAACAGGCATTGGTTAGGGACAGCCCTTGTGAAGGGTATGATATTTATAAATAGTTTTAATTTTGCAAATGTTTGTTTTTTAAGGTTTGTTTCCCCCCTGTTTATCTCTTCCTGTTTTATCTGTTCTCTGCTAATTCATCTGTATAGATGTTAATTTAGAAACTATTACTATAATTTAAGATCTGCTGTCCATGTGCTAACTATTGATGAGAAGCTTCAAGGCCCCTGATCTCTCTTCTTTTATCTCTCTCTTTAAACTGAAATTGCACCGGACAGCTTTTTAAATAGGTGAGTGTTCTCTATTAAGTAGGACACAGATGAAAACAGCAACAACAAGTTGTGTATGTGGCCCTCTTTAGAAACAGAGGAAGCTGTCTTATGCTAAGCCAGACCATTATTCCATCTAGGTTAGCACTTCCGTTGTCTGGGAACACTTCTTAAGGTTTTTAGGCAGGAACTTCCCCCTACCCTACTGGGAGAGGCCAGGGATTAAACCAAAGATCTTGAATATCAAAGTGAGAGGTCTACTGGTGAGACTTTCCATCTAAAATTTGTTCCTTAGCACCAGTGGTATGTGAACACTTTAGGGTGTAGAAGCTGTATTCCGTGGACCAACTTTTGCACAACTGATTAGTCACGTGTAAACAATGTTATTGTGCTTATAACTCTTATAAAATTGGTCGCAAGTCTCACAGAGCTATCATAATTTTGACACCCATTTACAGTACAATGCTCCAAATCTTCTACAGTATTCCAGGAATGGGAAGTCTGTGGACTCCCATGTTTTGCTGGACTTCAGCTCCTATTATCCATGACCATTGGCTGTGGTGTCTAGGGCTGATGAGAGTCAGAGTCCAGCAACATCTGTAGGACCACAGATTCATCACCACTGCCGTATACTTTTCTGTTCTGTAATAACCACTGGTAGTCTGTATGCCTCAACTTCTTTTTTTGAAAGCAATGCTTTTGAACTCCAGGTCTTCAGAAGCCAGAGTCTACAAGCTGTAACATACTTACTGGGGATTATCTCTTATTCAGCTCATTGGAATTTATTTCTGAGTGAACATTTGCAAAATTATTGCTCCTGCCCTTTGACGAAATGCACCTCCTTCTCTTGGCCACTTGCTTGTGGTTCTGAGGGGAATTGTAACATGCACTTTGCAAACTATGCTTATTCCGATGAGCGAGAGAGGACAGAGGTTTCAAATTTGGCTGTGTGCAGCTGGTATTCCCCCCTCCCCTAAAATATTAGAAAAATTGGGGTTCTTCAGAAAATGAGTGCATAACTCCCTAAGGGATAAAATATTTTTCGGCGGTTTTGTCTGCAGCAGCCTATTTTAAAATGCGACTTGCATCCTGAGGAAGAGCCTCTCAAATAAGAATACTGCTCAGGCAATTCAAACTAAGCCCAGGAAGTAGACAGAGAAGTGGGTTATTTTATCTTTAAGCCTGTGGTGGTGATGGTTAAATCTTTGCAGTCCTTCCTTAAGCAACATAATTCTGCGGGGAGGGATGTCTAAATAGAAACAGCATAAATTAGCAGAGCTCTTCCTCTGTTTCCATCGTGTGCTCTCGCTCCTGTTCTCCTGCATAAAAAACAAACAAATGATTTATTGCCAAATTGCAGTTTACTTTTAAGGTGAAGCTGTTTACTGGTAGAAATGCTGTGGCTTCCTTTTTTTTTTTTGATGACTGGACTTGAGGGGGGGGACCCCTTATTTTCTCTATTCCACAGGGTGTATTTGGTAGTTAAATCTGTCCAGCTATCCACCCCCACCTCAGCTCTTTCTTTTCTTTTCAAAAATGCTGGCGAGCTTTTATTATTATTGCAGGCTGAAGAGAAGAAATCATCGGGGACATGCTTGTTACAAACGCAGAAGCCCTCCTGTTCGTCATCCACTATCAAAGAGAATTCTCTGTGAGTTGACTGAGGCACAGCAGCCCAGCCAATCACCGGTCTCTTTCCTGACTCTGTCATCAGCCCTTGGTTGAGGGAAAAACGGTTTTGCTTTCATGCTCTGTGTTTGGAAGGCAGATAAAATGCCAGGTCTGGGTTGCCTCTAGGGATAACCTTCCTTTCTATGATGTGAATGAATAGCATCTTGGCTGGGGGCAAATCCAGAGGAGGAATTGACAAGGCAGGCTGGAGCTGCTCTGTCTACTGTCTAGGCCTTTCCCTGCATTTTAAATCCCAGCTGTGGCTTTTGTAGGGAATTCACTTTTGCACTGAGAAAGGGGTGCTTTGGATTATCAGACCTCCATGTATGACAATTTGTACCTGCATGGATTTGAAGACTCTGAGGCGGTAAGTGGGGTTTTCATTTTTTATTTTTGTCTAAAAGCCCACCCTTTTGCTGGTATCTTTCCTCCTCCTCCTCCTCCTCCTCCTCCTCGCAACAGCAAGGTATGCGGAGGACAGGGACGCCAAAGAAACAGGCTTTGTTTTGTGGGCTGCTTGGCAATGTGATGGATATAGTCTGGAGCCACCTGAACTAATCTCGGTTATATAATTCCTTGTCCTGCAGCTTTAGAAAAAGGAGAAGGGGAAGATATAGGTGTTTCCGACGAAAGCTGGGAAGCATTTTGTGTGTGTGTGTGCTGCCGTTTTGCTGATTACATGCTACACTTCTGTCCTCATGGCAGGGTGCATGAATGCTTCGTGGCTCCGAAATGGGGAGAGGTGTTGTAGCTATCATGCATAATATGTTCATCAGCTGGGGAAAGTGCCGCTGGAGGGGAGAAAGGAGAATACTAATAACACAGGAGTTTATGTTTTGCTTAAATTGGGAGCGGTGGAAGTTCTCCAAGATGTGTGGTGTGTGTGTGTGTGTGTGTGTGTGTGAGAGAGAGAGAGAGAGAGAAGATGCTGCCTGGGCAAATGGTCAGTGCAGATGCATTTGAATTTCTTGAACAAAGAAGCTGTACAAGTGGTTGCTGTAACACAATCCTGTAGCTTCACAATGGCAGTATGCGAGCTTTCAGCATGCTGTGAATGGAGGCTGAGGTGTCATGATTGCCAATCTTGCCATCTCATTATTATTTAGGATATGCTACCCCTTAATAGATGGTACTCCCCCAAGTCAGGATAGCTTTCCTGCTAGCAGAAGCCATTTGTATTTTGCCAGAATTGAGCACTGGGAATCCTAAAGCCTGTACCAGCCTGAGACCAATTAAATATGGACTGCAAAAAGTTGACAGCAGAGATTAGAAACCTATGGTCCTTGCTATGATGGGCATGTTTTATTTTATCCCCCCCCCCCGTCCCCACCACCCCTCCATGATTTAAAAGAGTCCTCGAGGGGCAACATTTCCCCAAGACGAAGAGAAATCTGCTGAGATTGCCACAACAATGTACACACTGTTCCATATTAAGCAGGAATGTGTTACATAAGGTTTTATAGCCAAAGCATAAAATACACAGATTATAACATAAAACAGTGTATGCGTCAATGCAGACGTATATGGCCAGTGATGCGATATCCACATGAGAATGGATAAGATCCTGTATCTCTCTTCAGATTAGTCTTTGCTCCTCTCTGTCAGTGTGATTCTCCACAGGCTCTTGCTGATAACTCTGTCATGTCTACATGTTGACTCAAATGCTCATAATTTATTTTTATGGTTAGGATAGTTTGGAGAGGGGGAAGACTCTGAAATGTCTAAAATGAAATACTCCACTGTTCCTCTTCTGATGGGGGAAGCTAGAGGGGGAGAATTTACTGTTAAAATGCTCTTTCAATTCAGTTTTAGAAACTCGTGGTGCTGTTTTTAAAAAACCGATATTTCTGCCTACGGCAGGTTATTTCCTTACGCTGAGTATTTTCTTGACCTGCCAGGTCACTTTCCAGGGAACTGTTTTTCCTACAAGCTACCTTTTATAAATAGAGTTAAAATTTTCTTTAGAAACCATAAGAAATGCTTTTTTAGTTCAGCGTTGATTTGGAATTGTAGCATTTTATTGCCTGGGCAGGCAGCTACAATGCCTGAAATATGTCAGAAATATACAACCACTAATAAGTGGGGATAGACAAGGTGCTTGCTGGTGCAGTTCAGTGGGGGAAAGTGCTTTGGCTTGAGTTGAGTACACTGGGGATCCACATACTGTCCAGCGCTAGTTTGTTGGATGGCCTAAGACTTATCTCCCTCTTTCAGACTCAGTTGCCTGCTTGAAATACAGAGGGAATAATGGGCCATCATTCCAGACTGCTGTGAGGATGAATGAGAAAAGGAACGCAAAACACGCAAAACAAAGACAATTGTTTATAATTTGGTCTTACTGTTTGACAGAAGATCTGTATAATGGGTCTGCCAGCTGCCTATACACAAACAAAACATATTCCCTCATGATTGCATGCATATATATGTATGTGGGATGTGTGTGTGTGTGCCACATATATGCCACATTTTTATAGCTTGAAGGGTATTATTCCTCCAGATAGCACTTTCTTGGCTGTTGTAGCTGCCATGCAAAGTGTGACTGTACAAGTGTCAGTGCGCAACCTACTTGAGATTGCCTGCAAAGTGAGTGATGGTATGACATAGTCCCCCTCCCTTAAGGCCCAAACCACTGAGTGGCATGTTCTATTAATGTTTCAGATGTATGACGAGTATTTCTATTATATTTCTGTGCAAGCCTGTACATTCTCTCTCTCTTTGCCAGGCCACTGCCAGACTTGCTTATATTGGATGATGATGTGCTGGGAACGAGTACTTTTTCTCCTCACCTCCAGTAGCAATGTGTGTGTGTGTGGGGGGGGGAATCTCTGCCTTCTCCTTCCCTAGGGGGCATATCCAAATAATAGTAACAATGCAAATTTTCTTACATCTCCAGATGTGGTTTGCTTGTCAAAAGGAAAAGAGGGGGAAAGGCACGGGTTCCAAGTAAGATGCTTGAAATGGATGTGTGTTACACATTCTATAATCTCGTCCCACACTCAACAGGTATATCTCTCTCATTCTACACCCTCCGCCCCACAGTAGTTCAATGATAGAAAATCTACTTCACATGCAGATCATCCCAGCTCCAATTCCTGGCATCTCCAGGTAAGCTGGAAATGATCCCATCTGAAATCCTGGAGAACTTCTGCCAGTGATTGTAAACAGTGAGCTAGATGGACTAAGGGCCAGGCTGTATGGCCTGTGGTCCTGCGTTTCCCTAGCATGCTGGTGGTCATGGGGATCGGCTATTGCCTCTCAAAAAGGACCAAACACAATCATAGGGGACCAGCTCCTTGGATTGTTAGTTGGAATAATGTGGTTGCTACTACACCTCTCTCTCTCTCTCTTTAATAGGAAGGTTTACATTGGAAATTAAGCGTTACCGTTCACTTCAAGGCAGGGGTAGGGAAACACGATGAAAATGGTCAGTTATAATGCCAGAAGAAAAGCGTGTTTGCAGCCTATGCTGAAGCAGAACGTACAGCTTTCAGTTCAGTAAAAGTTGAGCTCTCTCGCGCAGAAGTGGTGATCTGCAGGGGTGAGTCGGAAGGAACTCAAGGAAGAGAGCAATAGTGGGGGAATGAGGCATTTTTAAAGCAAAGTTCAGTATGAATACGTGCACATGTCTTGCCCAGAATACACTTGAAGTTAAGAAAGAGATTCTGAGCTGTTCTGGTTGATGGGAAGCCAAGCAGCTCAACCCAAACGCTCAGCTGGCGATGAGCATATGAAAAGCATAAGGAGGCGTACTGTACTTGCTTTCTGGTTTGTGGCAGGCAGATCTGTAAGCTAAAGACCCTGTGCTGCTGATGCGACTAGCACATTGTAAAATGAGTGTATCAGAATGAATCAGGACTAGTACAGTTATGCTTTACTGCAGCAGGCCTTATAAAAACCTGGCCTGTCAAGTTCAGTACCAGGCCTGTGTTGCGCTACCTCATCCATGTGTAGAATGAAGATTTTTAAGAAGGTGGCATGGTGGCTTCCCCCCTAAATTTGTTTTGCCCGTTATTTCCAAATTCATCCCAATGTTAGACTTGATTATTAGGAAGCCTGGACTGGGTATTTAAAACAGCAGTCCCCAGATACAAGTAATGAAATATATGTGTGAATATTACACACACACAATGCTCATGTATGCTTACATGTGTTCATGTTGAAGTAATAACTACTTTTGAGACCATTTCATTGTTATTTGGGGTACCTATGTCTTTGCCTTTTGTTCCAAGCACTTAGCAGCTGTCAGAAATGTTCAGAAGCTGTTTTTCTCTTCTTTTAATGTATTTGTAATGAACAGTTTTCCATGCAGACCTCAGTTTGGTGGTTGACATTTAGGGGAAGGTGAGCTCTGTTATGAGCATGTGGTGGGGGCATGATAGTATTTGGTATGGAAAATTCTCAGAAACTTGTACGAGAAAAGAGATGCTAATTTCCAAAATAGAATTGGACTAGTGCTTATGTTTGTTTTCTGAAAATTATTTATTTTATGTGTATCCTAATCTTTCATGGCATCCCAGGCGGTTGCCATCCAGATGGTTAAGAAGCTTGACAACAGCTACAGTGCCTGGTGTTTCCAGGCCATTCCCTGGGTCCCCAAGTTCCCACTGGTCACTCAAACAGTTCTTTACAGGTAGCAAAACCTCATGCAAAACCTGAGCTGTTGCATAGACTATGCTGGAATACCTGCTCTGTACAAAACTACAGGTATGTTCAGGGCATCTGTCTTTGAACTCTGTATCTGTAGATGGGAGGCAGGGATGCATATGCAAGGCATGCCCTTAGTGTCTTCTGTGTGCACCGTTCCCCAACTATCCCCTTGTTGAGCAGAGAAGGTCTTCAGGGGGGCTTTCACTCTCATTTACTCCGCACGGCTGGGAGCCGGATAAAGCAGGATCCCAATTGCATTGAAGCAAATGCTAGTAGAAGGATGTCTGCAGAACTTCTTCACTCAACATGGAGATGGTTGGGACTGAAAGGTGGGTAGGTGCAAAGTGCATGAGGCTGGGGTCTGCATCAATGTCCCTATCACTGTCCACCATTTGAGTGTTCATATATTCAGGAACATGCCTAGAATACCTAGATATTCTATACTTTCCATAATGGATGACAAGACAGATTCCCCATATTTTTTACAACTTGTTGACCAGGCATAGGCAAACTCGGCCCTCCAGGTGTTTTGAGACTACAGTTCCCATCATCCCTGACCACTGGTCCTGTTAGCTAGGGATGGTGGGAGTTGTAGTCCTAAAACATCTGGAGGGCCAAGTTTGCCTATGCCAGTTGTTGACTTTGTTGACCTGTATCATGTTTGTACGGGTATACATTCTGTGTGGATGATCTTGGCATGCATGCCATTAGGAAACTCTT